GGGAGAGAGAAAAAAAAACACACCGTATGCAAAAACACAGAACACAGGGCATTTAACCATGCCTCCTATTTTATAAACCACAGTAAAATAAATTGAAGGAAAATAATAATAATATTAATATGTCTGGGGACGTTACACAAATATAACACATATATGTATATTTATAAGGCTACTTTCTCGAAAAATAACAAATATTACCCAGAATGCATTGTCTTCTACGGGATTTTACTGCTTTAATGAAGAAAAAAAAACTAAAACAAAAAACAACGGTATGTTACTGTCAGAATGTGGCCATTTTTTTTACATCTTTTTTATTTAATTTTATTTAAAAAAAAATATTTTTTTACTTTATTTAAGAAAGAAAGAAAATCATCCTGTCTTGTTACATGATCACCAGCAGGTGGTGCAAAGACCACGCAAAGTATGGCATCTTCACTGGGACAGACTCACAAAATGGATGCTGTTTTCATACTAAATTAACCAGTATAAAGAACTGTTGGTTAAAAGTTGTGTTTGTACAGTGTACCTTTAAACCTATTGCTGTTTATTATTAATTATTCTTTAATTCTGAAGTACTGCATGACAGAAGTCTGAACTGTTGCATTAATAGAGCTTTATTTTCTGCCATTAAAACATGAACAATGAGACTAAAGGCTAAAACACTGTAACACAAACAAACTATATTATACAAAATATAAATACTAAATTATGTTGTAATTTTATAGGACAATACCTAGTAAACCTAAATAATTGTACTTTCTTATTTCTCTTGTAAATGTAATACTCTTACTGTCTTGGGTTTATCTCTGTTGCAGTGGTGTGCGCATTAAACATCATGGTACTGTTACTAATCCTGCCAAAAATGTATAGTCACTGTACTATCTGCCAAACCAACTGGGCATCTTCCTGGAAAATCTTGACATGCTGCTGCCGCTCTCCCTTCATGCTCACCACTGAGACTCTCCTCTTGCTCACTGCAACCTCCACTCTCTCCCCCCTGTACGCTTCCCCTCTGTGTCCACTGCATCCCTCCCTGTCATTAGAACCTCGTATTTTCTCTTGATGTCAGTGAAGTACTGCCACTCTCTTCTCCGCCTTAATATCCTGCCACTTCCAGGCCAGCACGTGCAACAACCTCCAGCCCATTACTTACAGATGTTCTCCAGTGCTGGGTAGATGACTTACACATTATAGTCTGCTACTGATTACAAATTACACGACACAAATTTGAGTTAGTAACATAATCTGGATTACATATATCAGTTAATGTAGTCTGACTACTTTCTGATTAGTTTTTATTTATGTGACCTGTCAATGCGAAAAGGGATGCACCGAAATGAAAATTCTAGATGCACTTGCCCGAAAACCGAAACCGAAAATGCTTTATATTGTTTAATAAAATAATAAATAAGTATTACAAAGTAATTTTTTAAGACTTTTTAATTTAACTAAATCGTTTTAATGATACTGAATAAAAAAATAAAAAAAAACACAGGCCAATAAATAATCACACTTTTATTGAAAGTAACACAATAAAATGCAGTTTCTATTGCATAGTATAGTGTTTCTATTGCAGTGTTGAGAAATAGTCATTTTTCAAATTGCCCCCCTTCTTATATTTCTGTTTCCAAGAACTCTTACTACCAAATAAACAAAAACCATTAACACCTCAGACACCCAGAACTCACAACTTTATCTTCTCTATTCTATCCTCCCTCTTCACACTTCTTCTCTGACTGCTGATGTCAGAGTGTAATGTGTCCTCCACCCACACACATTACACTCTTCTCTTACGTCTCTCTCCACATGAAGAACAAGGTCTCCAAAGTTCTCTGTGCCAACCGTCCTACAACCAGTCCATTAGACCCGGTCCCCTATCACCTACTTGGGTAACTCCACAGAACACCAAAACCAACACTCAGTCCTACAGCAGAGGAAAACTACAAACCAGTCTTCTGTCAAAAAAAAAAAAAAACCTTGACAAAGTTTTGTTCAATCAGCTGACTGCTTTTCTCTCACAGAATGACCTACTTGACCAGTCTGGCTTCAAAAGCAGACTCCCTGCGAAGTTATTGGTTGTCTTCTCCACTTACACTTGGCACAACCATAAAGGTACATGGCTTCACATACTAGACACTACACAGCTCTAGCTGTCGTTTCAACCTAATGTCTCAGCTCTGTCTGCCTTTCAGACATCTCACCTTCAGTGAGGGAGCTTGATCTCCAACTCAGCTTTGAAAGCCATTGTGACTAGCCTTCTGCAAATGATCCAGAACATGGCAGCATGTCTGATCATCAACCAACCTAAGAGAACCCATGGCACACCGCCTCCCAATCTCATTCCACCAAGTCCCAGCTGTGGCCAGAATCATATTTAAGGTTTTGATGCTGACTTTTAGGGCTGCCACTGGAAGTGCACCTCTCTACCTCAATAACAAGTGTATGCTAACTCCTGCCAGCTATTTCTTCCAAACGAGTGACGTCTTGAAATATTTTTTTTGAAATATCATTGAAATATCATGCTTGGCTTTCCTAAATACCACATTTAATTTTAAATGCTGCTTTATGCTGTCCTGGGTTGACCAGTATTGTGTTTCTGGTAAAACCATGTTAGTGTTTTTGGTTAAAGGTGCACTAAGCGAATTTTGCCAAACAATGTTGATATTTGAAAGCAGCAAAACAAACACGCCCATACCCCAACAGGACCTCGCCCCTATTTTGATAACTCCGCCCCACACATGCGTACACAACCCTGGCAGTGACGATGACGGATCTGCTATGCCTGCCGGCCGAGGATATGATGCCATCAATAAGTGAAAGCGATGTGTGTTGCTATGGCAATTCAACATAAAAATCAATGTAACTCACCTATCAAGAAGAAACAAAGCAACCTCGGCATCTGATTCCAGTCCTTCCCGCTCCTCGAGTTCTCTCCACCGCTGGAAAGCTGCTCCAATATTTACGCGGTTCCTACCTCTTACCTGATCGTAACCCTTCTTTTTAATGTTTTGTTCCTTTGCTGGTTGGCAGCGAGTGTGTTTTGGGACTCGGTCCGACACTGTGGCCAAAAGTGTTTTTTCAAATTTTGCTTAGTGCACATTTCAGCAAAAGAAAATGCCTGGTGGTAACACCAACAACCAAAACACAACATATGCTGGTCTCTGCAACTAGTTTATATCTATTAAAAACCACACGTAATCACCAGATAAAGATTTTAAAAGTTTTAATGATAACTATATATACTCACTGAGCTGATAAAATCATGAAAAGATTTAAATCAATTTAACTTCTCAAAAAGCAGAAAAATATAGTTGCTGTTTGTAACCAACCTACAAAACCATCTTAACTTTAAACCTTATAGTTACTAAGATACAGCAATGTGATATCTGCCATGTGTGGCCCTTTACGAAAATTAACCATGGTTTTACTGCAGTTAAAGTGATACAGTTAAACAATGATTATTAAATAATGCTCTTACCCGTTTCACCAATGTTAATGACCGGTGACAAAACTACAAATGATCAGGATGAGGCCAGTATTGCTGTTTTCACACTAACGTGTTTAACACTTTTTAAAAATGAAGATGTGACACTTCACAGCATAGCAGAAGACAAGGAAACAGGGCAACATTACATTACATTACTTGTCTAATTAATAGAAATTTGGTAATACAATGAACAATAACAACTTATCAGTAATTAATAGACTAATACAATTCTGAAGTTGCTTTCATGTCAAACTGTTTTAATCATATGAGATCTTCTAAGCTTTTTACTCTGACTGTGGAAAAAAACGTGTCCAAACTCACAGCAGCACCTCTCCAGCAAAGCCACTAGAAGGCAAGCCTGCAACTCTTAGCCAAAAAAGCATAATGGCTAATGCTATCGCTTCCACTTTGCCAGTACGTGGGAAAAGAAACCAGAGGCCGTTTTTTTTTTTTAATGGATGTCAGTGGAGGAGATGCTTCACTAGGCAGAATAAACAGCTTTTTAGAGGAAACATCTGATCATTTAATGAATCAACAGTCTATCAGCTAATCTTCAATATGTTTTACACTAAACAATACTTTTGGATTGAACTATTTTTAGAGTTTACACCAAAAAAAATTCAGTTTTATAAGAGAAGTCACTGACTTTTTGCGACAGGTGGGATTCAGCTTATGTCATGCTGAAAGTAAATGAATAAGCTAATAAATAATGCACTTCAAATTCCTGGTCAGTATAAAAGGACTTGAATTACTTGATCTTGAAAAGTAAATTATATTGTCTGCACCATATCCTTAGTGAATAGACATTTGATATTCTAGGTAATGAGTGAAAACACTTACCATTGTATTCTCATACACAGGTTCAGTCATCTCAACATCACAAGGTCTGGAATGATTCATCTTTGCCATTAAAGAAAAAAAAAACAGAATAGAGAGAAAATTGAATTAAAAAATGCTTCAACATACAAGAACTATTAGGTCACCTATAATAATAATAATAATTACATTAGCGTTCACATCAACAGACTATAACAACAACTTACCATTACATTCTCATATAAAGGTTCAGTCGACTCAACATTAGATGCTGTGCATCTGTCATGATCAGGTCTGGAATGATTCATCTTTGACATTAAAGAAATAGAGACAAAATAAATAACTAATGCTTATAAACTCACTATATAAAGTCAGAACTCTTATTTATTGATGAGACTATTGATTACAAAACTAATTTTTCTCACCTGAGTTTCAAACGTGTCTTTTCTCTTTTTTATCCTGCTTCTCCTTAAAAACAATGAAGGTGTTAAATAAAAGTGAAGTGACATGTTTTATTTAAAAGATGAGATAATTCATATATTTGTCACGAATCCTGTCCATGGACTTCCGTTCAATCACCACCAGAGGTCACCCTTTCATTACATTGACTCTCGCACAACACAAACTGTTGCATGTCATCCCGGACTACATATCCCATCAGCCATTGCACTGATTGCACACAGCACTGATTGCACACAGCTGTCATCAATCACACATTAACCATATAACACTCACTCAAACAACCATTCTCTGCCGAGTATTGTTTAGCCTGTACCCTGTTCCGAGACCTTGCCTTGCCGTTAATGACCTTGGACTGTTTATTGGGTTGCTCTTCTGTCTCCCCCTGTTGGGTTCCGTTTGCCGTCGACTGACCCTTGCTAGTTTACCGGATTGCCCTTGCCTTGTCTTCTCCATACCAGTTTGCCATTGTCTGACCCATGCCTGTTTCTGACCACGCCTGTGAATAAAGCTTACACATGGGTCCGCACGTCTCGCGTCTTGTCTGCCCCGTAACAATATTGTATTATAACAATATTGGACTTGCATTTCTTATGTGATAATATTTCATTGGTCAATACCAATTACATTTTATGCCTAAGATTTTCCAACAATATTACCCTTATATTACAATATTAATATAAACAAAAGTTACCCTTACGACAATTTTTTTCCTTTACCGACGGTTATACCTGTAAATTACACACGTCTTACCAAATAAGCATTCCGATGATAACTGCAGCTCCACAAACCACTCCAATGGATATGTACAATATCACCAGACGGCCTACAACAGAGACAAGAGAGTAAAACATCTGAACAGATTTATTTGCTTCACTTTAGAAGGAATCATGAAAGTAAATGAGCTGCTCTACCTTTAACAATGACAGTAACAGCGTCTGATCTCTGAGATCCATGTTGATTGTGAGCCTCACAGTAGAAGCGTCCACTCTGTAGTGCACTGAAACTCTGTTCAGATCCAACAGCTGAGCTTTGATTCTCCTTAAACCAGCTGAAGATCAGAGCAGGAGGGTTTGCATCACTGCTGCAGCTCAGAGTCACTGAATCTCCCTCCACTATTTCTCCAGATCCAGTTATGGACACTGAGACATTCTTTGGAGGGTCTAAAAAGGACAAACATTTTAATTCACAATAAACGGAAGAAAATTGTGTGTTTGGAAATTTTGATCATTAACTCACACATGACGTTTAAAGTCACAGCATCAGAGTATTTCTCTCCATGTTTATTTCTGGACTTGCACTTGTATTCTCCACTGTGATCAGAGCTGATCTTTGAGATGCTGTAGATTCTTCCAGATCCTACAAACCTTCCTCCTTTAAACCAGCTGAAGTTCAGAGCAGGAGGGTTTGCATCACTGCTGCAGCTCAGAGTCACTGAACCTCCCTCCACTATTTCACCAGATCCATTTATGGACACTGAGACGTTCTTTGGTGCATCTAGAGAGGACATAAATTAAATGTGTAGTTCCAAAATGTTACATTTACATTCAATTATTTAGCAGACGGTTTTATCCGTTAGAGGGTCAAGTTATTTAAAAAAAATTTTTTAAAGAAATAAAAAGAAAACAAGTCGATTGAATACAAGTAGAATAGAGAGTGCTAGCGTTAGAGGCTCAAGTGTAGATGGAAGAGTTGTGTCTTTAGGGTAAAAGACTGTGAAAGTTATAAATAAAAAGTTTTTAAAAAGAGCAAATTAATCAGTACTCACACGTGACACTGAGACGAGCAGCAGGAGAGATGTAACTGTGTCCATGTAGAGCACAGCTGTATCTGCCTGCATCCTCTCTTCTGACTGACTGCAGCAGGAGTTGATTGTTTCCGTCTCTTCTCTCAGTTAATGGCTGTGAGTTTCTGTACCAGATGAATGTTGCTCTGTCAGTCAGAGTGCAGCTGCTGTTACATGTCAGCTCAAACAACCATTCTCTGCCGAGTATTGTTTAGCCTGTACCCTGTTCCGAGACCTTGCCTTGCCGTTAATGACCTTGGACTGTTTATTGGGTTGCTCTTCTGTCTCCCCCTGTTGGGTTCCGTTTGCCGTCGACTGACCCTTGCTAGTTTACCGGATTGCCCTTGCCTTGTCTTCTCCATACCAGTTTGCCATTGTCTGACCCATGCCTGTTTCTGACCACGCCTGTGAATAAAGCTTACACATGGGTCCGCACGTCTCGCGTCTTGTCTGCCCCGTAACAATATTGTATTATAACAATATTGGACTTGCATTTCTTATGTGATAATATTTCATTGGTCAATACCAATTACATTTTATGCCTAAGATTTTCCAACAATATTACCCTTATATTACAATATTAATATAAACAAAAGTTACCCTTACGACAATTTTTTTCCTTTACCGACGGTTATACCTGTAAATTACACACGTCTTACCAAATAAGCATTCCGATGATAACTGCAGCTCCACAAACCACTCCAATGGATATGTACAATATCACCAGACGGCCTACAACAGAGACAAGAGAGTAAAACATCTGAACAGATTTATTTGCTTCACTTTAGAAGGAATCATGAAAGTAAATGAGCTGCTCTACCTTTAACAATGACAGTAACAGCGTCTGATCTCTGAGATCCATGTTGATTGTGAGCCTCACAGTAGAAGCGTCCACTCTGTAGTGCACTGAAACTCTGTCCAGATCCAACAGCTGAGCTTTGATTCTCCTTAAACCAGCTGAAGTTCAGAGCAGGAGGGTTTGAATCACTGCTGCAGCTCAGAGTCACTGAATCTCCCTCCACTATTTCTCCAGATCCAGTTATGGACACTGAGACATTCTTTGGAGGGTCTAAAAAGGACAAACATTTTAATTCACAATAAATGTGAAAAAATTGTGAATTTTGATCATTAACTCACACATAATGTTTAAAGTCACAGCATCAGAGTATTTCTCTCCAATTTTATTTCTGGACTTGCACTTGTATTCTCCACTGTGATCAGAGCTGATGTTTGAGATGCTGTAGATTCTTCCAGATCCTACAAGATTTCTTCCTTTAAACCAGCTGAAGTTCAGAGCAGGAGGGTTTGCATCACTGCTGCAGCTCAGAGTCACTGAATCTCCCTCCACTATTTCTCCAGATCCAGTTATGGACACTGAGACATTCTTTGGAGGGTCTATAAAGGACAAACATTTTAATTCACAATAAATGTGAAAAAATTGTGAATTTTGATCATTAACTCACACATAATGTTTAAAGTCACAGCATCAGAGTATTTCTCTCCATGTTCACTGATGGACTTGCACTTGTATTCTTCACTGTGATCAGAGCTGATGTTTGAGATGCTGTAGATTCTTCCAGATCCTACAAGCCTTCCTCCTTTAAACCAGCTGAAGTTCAGAGCAGGAAGGTTTGAATCACTGCTGCAGCTCAGAGTCACTGAACCTCCCTCCACTATTTCACCAGATCCATTTATGGACACTGAGACGTTCTTTGGTGCATCTAGAGAGGACATAAATTAAATATGTAGTTCCAAAATGTTACATTTACATTCAATTATTTAGCAGACGGTTTTATCCGTTAGAGGGTCAAGTTATTTAATTTTTTTTTTTTAAAGAAATAAAAAGAAAACAAGTCGATTGAATAGAGAGTGCTAGCGTTAGAGGCTCAAGTGTAGATGGAAGAGTTGTGTCTTTAGGGTAAAAGACTGTGAAAGTTATAAATAAAAAGTTTTTAAAAAGAGCAAATTAATCAGTACTCACACGTGACACTGAGACGAGCAGCAGGAGAGATGTAACTGTGTCCATGTAGAGCACAGCTGTATCTGCCTGCATCCTCTCTTCTGACTGACTGCAGCAGGAGTTGATTGTTTCCGTCTCTTCTCTCAGTTAATGGCTGTGAGTTTCTGTACCAGATGAATGTTGCTCTGTCAGTCAGAGTGCAGCTGCTGTTACATGTCAGACTGACATTATGACCCTCTGTCACTCTCTCAGGAGCCTCCACCTGAAGATCTGAACACAACACACACATTATATCTAGTGCTGCTGTCATACACTGATTATTATTCAACATAATGCACAGAAGAAGAGCTCCGCCTCATGAAAGTCACCTGTGACAGTAAGAGTCACTCCTGGATCACCAGTCCATTTTCCATCAGGTTTATCAGTGATGAATCTGAAATAGTACATGTGTTCATCTTTCTGTGTCACATGACTCAGTCTGATGCTGCAGTCCTGCTGTGTGTCTCCCAGATACTGAAGCCTCTGACTGTATTCAGGATCCTCAGAAAGATCTGGATGGTCTTCACCCTTTACATTATTTTTGGACCAGAACACTTTCATGATCTGATGTCCAGTAGGGTATGTATAAGTGCAGCTCATTATCACTGATGAGTTCTTTAGTGCACAGATGTGTGAAGGACTGTAACTCACATCCCAATCAGCACCAGAAACCCCTGAAACACAGAATTCATTTTGAACAAATGTACATCCTTTGTCAAAGCAAGTCTCTCTCTCAAGTGTTTCTGAAGTGTTGCAGTCACTCACTGTGAATCATAATCAGAATGATCAGAGGAAGAGGAGGAGCCATTCTGACTGACATCACCATAGCAACACCTATAAATAAATGTACAGTTGTACAGTATGTTTTTGTAATATTCGTTTGTAACATTGTAATATTTTATAGAACAATGCCAAGTAAACATCAACTATTACAGTTAGTTCATTGTCTGTTAAGATGCTTGTGTTTATTGAGGTTTAGGGTTTTTTGCAACTTTTTGCTGTGCAGTTAAACTATAGTTAAGCACACAAGACTTTAACTTCCTCTTTCTGGCTAGTGTAGATAGTGACCAAGATAGTCTTGTGGCTTAAGCTACAGAATAAACTTTGTGGTCAAACCAACACCCAAAACACCACACATGTCAGTGCTTACAACGGGCTTACAGTATATGTATTAAAAAACACATCTAACCACCAGGTGAAGATTTTAAAAGTTACCTACAATTTTATTGACTTAATCAACAACATTTAATCTACTTTCATGCATGCACTTGGTAGATGCTTTCATCCAAATTAACTCGCATTGCATTTTTATCAGTTCATGCATTCTATGGAAATTAAACCCATGACCTTAGCGTTGCTAGCACCTTGCTCTACTTTTTGAGCTACAGTAGACTAGTAGTCTTCAGTTGACTGTTCCAAGGTCACACTTGAAATCAAAAGGAGATCGTGCCTTTTCAGTGGCTGCTCCACAGTTATGGAACAAGTTACCACCCTATATAAGAACTGCACCAACATATGCTGATTTTAAGTCTCTTCTTAAAACGTATTTATTTACTGTTGCTTATGGTCATAAATAAGAGCAGTGGCATAACTTTAGTGTACTATCTGTCGCTGTGTTCTATGTTTACTTTTGTATTTTGTTATATGCTTAATCTTGTACAGCACTTTGGCCAACAGCTGTTGTTTTTAAATGTGCTCTATAAATAAATATGACTGACAGACTGACTACAGGAATACTTAAAAAAATAAAAATAAAATAAACAAGATAGAATACCACAGATGTATAGTTCCTGTTATCATATACTGGGGCTAGTTTTCCCTTTTTTACTCCAGTGAAAGTGTTACTGGAATTTTAACTACTTGGAGGGCATAATTTACAAAAAGTATTTAAATCTAAAACATTTTTGAATAGGTGTTTGCAAACAACATACAGAAACAATTGGACTTTTGACCTTAAACTTCGTTAATGGGAACTTCCCTGTGTGACAACAAGCCCCAATCCCCCCTACACCACACACACACATACACACATTTGATGATAATCAGTCTACAGAATGATTATAAAATCATGTTCTTACCCGTTTAACCAAAACGCCTGACCGGTGACAGCACTACAAATGATCAGGATGAGACCAGCAATGGGGTTTTTATGTAGTCAACACCTTATATTTTAGCAGGAGGATATAACACTTCACATAGTACAGACATAGCAGAAGTAGAGACTAAACATGGCAACCAGCACATAGATGACATTAGACGGACGTCACACACTAGGTGTAAACTATATCTTTATGAAGGAAAAATAAACGTTGTCAGACCATAGAGATGCTTATTATGTTTTCAAACTTACATGCATATTTAATCTTATCCTGGGGAAACAAGAAAATAAATAATTTCATAAGAACTTCTCAAGAATTAATAGAGTAAACGAATATTGAAGTCGCATCCTCCTGGACCATATGAGATCGTCTAAGCTTTTTATTCTAACTCTGGCCTTGTATCACTTCTCTGTTGTCTCCTGTTATATTTTGAACCTCTAAATATGGCCATAGATGCAGTTCCACTGTAGCGGCCACAGATGTGAGAAAACAAGCCATGTGCAAACTCACAGCAGCATCTCTCTAGAGGTGTTTACTGTGTGATCATGTGACCCTCATGAGAGATGGACAGACGCTCTGACATCTGAAGGCAGATTTTGCTGATACTGTTTAACTCTGAATGTAATACCTGGAGAAAACGATCCATTCATATCAAAAGGCATTTGTTTCTCTGACTGAGGCATGCAATCCAGGAAGTACGAGGCTTTGAAGCTCACATGCACCAAAGATGTAGTTGATGAGGAAACATTTGTGTGACTCAAGAGTAGTGTAGCTGAAGTTTATCCTATAGAGGGCGCAGGTTTGGATGACCCCGGAATTTTCCCCTGTGGAGGGTGCTTAGTGCTTATATATAAAGATCCAATAGGTGATTTTTGTTATGCCGGTTGAAAGTATCTTCACATACCAATAGCAATCATTAAGGTAAGTGGTCTAAATTTATTTAGATGTATTTATATTCTGTGGAAGGCGAAGGACCAAGAAATGTTCATCCACTCAAAACACTCGGTCCAAGTGTTTTAATTGCCTTTCCTACCTGCCTGTCAACGTATGTATTAGCATACCTGTGCACCCTGTTCGCGCAGACAGGATACGTCATCAGCGCCTTCATGTACGCTGTGCAGACAGAGCGAGAATAGCAGGACATCAACGACCTGACCTTCCTTCCTTCCTCAGTATACTGTTACTAACTGTACTATAAAGTGTTGTCAACAGTGAATGACACATGATGTATTGTGGTAATAGCTCACATGCACCAAAGATGTAGTTGATGAGGAAACATTTGTGTGACTCAAGAGTAGTGTAGCTGAAGTTTATCCTATAGAGGGTGCAGGTTTGGATGACCCCGGAATTTTCCCCTGTGGAGGGTGCTTAGTGCTTATATATAAAGATCTGTAGGGTAAACAGGTCAATAATTTAATAATTTAGCTCAAAGGGAATCATTTAAGATTTTAAAGGGAACTCCACCATTAATATGCAAGGGAATTAGGACAGATTCGGTCTGATATCCTACAGATCCAATAGGTGATTTTTGTTATGCCGGTTGAAAGTATCTTCACATACCAATAGCAATCATTAAGGTAAGTGGTCTAAATTTATTTAGATGTATTTATATTCTGTGGAAGGCGAAGGACCAAGAAATGTTCATCCAATCAAAATATTCGGTTCAAACATTATCATAGGCTTTCCTACCTGCCTGTCAACATATCTATTAGCATACCTCTGTGCACCCTGCTCGCGCAGACAGGACACATCATCAGCGTGTTCATGTACGCTGTGCAGACAGAGCGAGAATAGCAGGACATCAACGACCTGACCTTCCTTCCTTCCTCAGTATACTGTTACTAACTGTACTATAAAGTGTTGTCAACAGTGAATGACACATGATGTATTGTGGTAATGTTGTCTCTGGTCATCTGGTCTGTGCGCGTTCATGGGTTCAGGAGGCGTGGCTTTGTTCGGCGATTTGCAGGGAGTGTGGGTCGTACGCTTTCAGTGCTATCAGGCTAAAGTTAGCATTGTCCAAGATCTCCTACTGCACCTTTAAGATGCCAAACGACAGATTGAAAGACGTGAGTAGGCAGGTGTCGCCACAGTGAGGCGAGGGGTGAAGTAAGTGCAGTAAGATTTTGGAAGTGGAAAAAGAATCTATAATTTACAGTGAAAAACCATACATTGATTTTTCCGATTTTTACCCAAAATAGGGTGGTGTGACCATTAATGAGTACACTCATGTAATGTATGATTCATTCACTGGAAGCCAGAGGGCGATGAATAATGATTCTTTAATAAGTAGCCACATCGGATCACAAAAGGAAGTTATTTCAAACACTTGACTGACGTTATGAAGTGAGTTTGAATAAAAATATGTTATTACATGTGTATTTGGTTGGACAACATTTTTATAAATGTTGTCATTACACTGCAGTGTGCTGTCAGAGAAGAGAGAGAAAGCTGGTAGTATCGGCGTATACATACTGCGAAAAATAGAGCGGGGGAACTATGACGTCACTTTGTATGCGGATCTATAGGATTTTTCCATAGGCTTTTGGATTATCGCAAAAAATAAGCTCTGTGTTCAACCATAGTTCATGAAACTTACACGTTTTGTCCATCAAGATAATCTTCACAAAATAATGTAACTTTGATGAATTTTCAAGCCTAAATATAAGTGCCAGAACTTAAAAGCTAAACTTAGGCTACAAACGAACTACTGCATCACGGTCGCTCGCCTTCAACGTCACCTCCACCATGCTCCCGACAACTTTTCAAACTTATTTTTAACAATTTCAGTGAAAAGGATTTACTCTGTAGATGAATTTTAACCCACGCTACATGAATCTTTTCATATAAACTGGAATAAATACAAAACTAGAGCCAAACTAAAACTGAAATCAGACATTAGTAATTAATAGTATAGTGAATAAATGAAATAATCATAACTAAAGGACATATGAAAGCACATATGTCTGTACATTTTGAAATAAGGTGCATTAAAAGTCAATCAATCCTTGATTAATATGAATATTTTAATTAAAAACGTGTCTCCACGTACTATTCAATACAATTCTAGTGCATTTAATATATTAAATAACAGCAGAGTGAGCGAGTTTTTGGATATGGTAACTTATTTTAGTGAATAAAGTACCACATTTCAGCTTTGTTAGGGTGGTTACACAAAATGCTATTTTATCCTTACTTCTAGAAGATCCTCATATGCTTTCTAACAGCTTCATGTGGCCGTAAACATTTAATTTTAACGTGGCTTTAAGCACTATGCTTCGTTAAAGTTTCACTTTCCCCGTGACTAAGCCGGTACATGTGGTGTTTACATGGAATGATCGTAATATGAGTTTACCTTATGGTCCGAACCCAGAGTCTCTGCATCAGCGGCAAAGCGATAAAACAAGCATCTTTCATCCACTTGTGTTGCATTTCGGGGCAAAACAAAAAAACATTGTCGAACAACAATATAAAATGTGGGAAACTATTAACTGGTTATTCTACAATTAATTGTATTACAAATTATACTACGACTGGAAAATACTGTCAATTGATAAAATGTTCAGTGTAATGACGTTGAATGTCTCCGACAGCGCCTGCAGTCCCATTTAGCAACTTATTAGCTTTTTTAAGAAATGTTACACTTTTAAAAAATCAAGAGTGGGGTGTAACCAGTGTGTTTTATGTCGTAGAATTAAACATGAAAGTATCTTGAGCCTGTGTGAAC